CCCTCCCACACATAAAGGTGTAAAGTACTCCGTACCTAGGTAGGGATTGGAGAGGAGCATACGCGGTACGCCATTTTCTGTGTCTAAGGAGGAACAGTGTCCAAACGGGCCCTGACCCTGGTTCGCCTCTGACGGTAATTTTACATCCCGCGTAAAGAGCTCCACCCATAATTCTGTCAAATGAAATGAATTATCTATGTTTATATAAGCGCATTTGCCGTGCCTATGACCAGGGGGCACAGTAGGTCGTTTCCATCTTTGGCTATCCGGCTGGAAAAAGGGAGCCAGTGTGGTACAGACTAAGCCTGACATGGTAAAGGCGTGCATTAGCTTGCTGAATTGTGGTGGCTCTGCTTTCTGTTTTATCTATTGAAAGTTGGGCTGATGCTGTACGGAGTAAGGTAGGTACGTAAGGTACGGAGTACTTAAAGTTATGAATTGCCTGAAGTGCTAAGTAAGGTACCTGCGACTGTAAGGTACACAGGCATGGTGAAGGTACATTCACCATGCCGCACCAAGATAGGTACCTAGATAGTACCAAGTCTTCCTTATCATAAAGGAATCACGCTCCAGGACCGAGAGCGAATAGGTGCAGTTGAGGAGAGGATACAAGAGATCTTCAGGTACAAAGTACCCTGGCAAAGTCCATGCAAGCCCATCTTGTGGAATAACCAGAGTTGAAGGACCAGTGATCTGCTAGTATTCACAAGTTATGTACCGTTCTTCTCTTGGCCTCAAAGCCCAGGTAGGCTTTCATTGTCGCATGGTTGAACTATCCTCATGAAACAAAGCAAACGAATAACTTGTGATTCACTGCCTGACCTACAGAGCGTCCTGCTGCCCTTGTAGCATCGTTCCACTCTTTTCCCAAGTTGGAATCGAGTTCATCCGAGCACCTAGCAACAAACTATCTATCTGCCTACTTTCCGCGTGGCCTCTCTCTTGTTATTTATTGCCGTAGTTAAGAGGTAGATGCTCCGTATCTAACTCTCTATTCCCGACAAGCCATTGTCAGCCACATTGCAATGACAAGGACGCGGCGTCGTCGATCCCTGTTTCGGCCAAGCGCCCCAATGAATCACACACACAGAGACCCGTGATGCGAGTCCTTATTCCGTACCCTCCGATAACGCGGATCAACATGTGTCAAATCTCTTCAAGGAAATCAACAGTACGCCATAATGATCACAACCAGTATGGTTTCCAACAAAGCGAAGGTTCCTCTCTTACTTTCGAACTCGTGCAAAACTCTCCTCCCAAACTCACCACGCTTTCATGAGTTCCAAGGCTCCAAGCGGCCACTCCCGGACTGTGTGGGTCTGAACCCCTTCATGGCTTCTGCAGGTTAACGCGGATCTCTGGAACCCGTAAAGAAACTGTAAGGTTCACCTCGTTTGGGTGCTGAAGTAACACACGACGAAAACACAGCGAGATTATACCTCGATGGCTCATCCTCTGATCGACAAGGCTTGGAAGGTCCGCCAATGGCAGAGATTGATTCCCATGTGAGCGATTATAATGAAATCGGTTCGTTGTCCAACAGGCGTGATTTACTCCGTAAATCGAAGATAATAGTTCATGGCTTCGCCACTTACGTTGTCTGCGCAGACGCGTATCTCGATGGAGCTCAACCAAAGAAATTTTCCATACAATTCTGCTGAATGGGAGAACGAGGTAGGCTGAGAAAGGTAGCCCCTTGTATGTCACCAGTTCGAACTCGATGTTATTGTGATGAGAGCAGGAGACTGTCCCTGACTCCTGACTCTTTGTACCCAATACTGAGTAAACCGCTCAGATCATGTTTGTCCAAGATATGACAGTGAGAAATGTAGTCACGTTTGCACCGCTCCATTTGCGAGTTCTCGAAACCCATTGTCCTCTCGTGAATCCCGGAAATCCGCTAAATGATAATGACTTGCTTTGCAATGAAATGACATGGCATATACGCCGAGAATTACCTCCTTTGTATGTACATTATGGAAGAACCAGCCATTCCAAAAATGAGAGGAATGTTGCTGGAGACATTGAGACATTAGTCCTTTGCTCAAGGAGACAGGCTCAGATTTTTTCAATCGCAAATTTCTCTCATTCAATCAGAGCTGCCAGACGAACTTGACACGACTAGAGGAGTTCGATACTTGCGAATAGGCTGGGCCCATGGCCAAGAGACAGCTACGGATTCATCTGTGGCTGTCAGAGCCTCGAATCAACAGACCTTGAGAGTACGAATGCTTCCCCAGGACTACGGTACCAACTTGCACTAATACAGAGTATAAATAGATCATGCTCACTTTCCGAGAACCAGATCTAGATAGACTAGACCCTGGTCGTGTGGTGTTCTTTTTATGACCAACCACTATCCTAACAACACCATCACCCCGAGCCAAGGACAAGCTTCAATACAACAAAGTGATACACCAGTATTTCACGTTCACCTCAACTCATGAAAACTACTGTATGATGGAATACCTAGACGGAACGACCGGAAGCTGTAAGGACATGTAGATATGTCCCGGACTACCGACAGAATTATAAAGCCTTCAGACAGGTCTAGAACCCATCAATTGACCCACAGCACAACAGTCAGGCTTCCATCCAGTCCAATTTTGTCTTAACTCTTGATCTATCGACTTATCGAGTCCACAGTGACTGTCTAGAACTTCTGGAGTTACGCTGAAGCTAGGATTGGGAAAAAGTAAGCTGCTGTTGCTTCATTGCACTGCTTGACAACTAGAAATCCGGCTGGCATCACAGACCTGGACTTGGCGGCCTTGCGCCAATATCGGCCTCTGGGTTATGTTTGCCAGCGTACTCAGTCGTCAACCTTATCTTTAACTTGAAAGCTTGACTGGAGCTTTGAGACAATTGATGGGATTATCATCAGTATTGCATCCCATCGTCGATCGATGACTTAAGGCTCAAGGGCTAGCCAGGCTCTCTACCCATGTTAACATGTGGATGATTAGTCTGATGTAGCGAGTATTAGACTTGAAGGATTTCCGTTGCATGCCATGGATAAACCGCACATATCATCATGCTGCGGGATGTTGCAGCCGTAGCGCAGCCGGCTGTATATATATCGCTATCTGTACCAAGACTATGGCCTCACTGTCATCCATCTCAATTTGTCAAGAAATGCTTGGATATGGCATCTCCTATAACCTCCCATAATCGTATAAAAGTATTTTGACAGATGTTCAATATGAATTGATGTATTTGACAAAGGTAAGGAATTGCTCAGTAAAGGTTCATATTGTTGCACTGGAGCCGGTATTTCTACCAGATGTTCGGCGAAGCTCGACAACAGCTTAACCGGTACAGAGGGAGGCAGCAGAGGTATACAAATCATATGCACAATCAAACGCCAACTTTTCAAAATTGTATTCAACGATGTTTCACATCCTCTCCGATATATATGTTCGTAGAAAGGTCTTTCTATCACGATAACTAAATCTTGAGCAGTCAAGCCTGGACTCGCCTGTACAGATTATCAACGCTTTCTAGGGCTTGGGAATCTTTATCGACTTGCTGACCATCGTGCAGCCGTGCAAAACAAACAACAGAATGACGGGGTGAAACTCAAATGGCGTGCCTTGAGCGGCGATTCCAAGAGGAAGATCCTCGAGAATCCAGCCCTGAGATACCCAGTAGGCCATGAGCGAAGCGATGCCCAATGTTGTCGGGATCGGTGTGCCTTCAAAGTACTTGGACTTGCCGGTCTTATCCTTGGGAAGCACGGCGACGGTAACGTTGAATCGGGCCAACCGTGTTAAGCCACAAAGGACGAAGAACGCCAACAGAAGATGGTCGACGAAGGTGCGGGCTCCAAGAGCGAATGCGCATGCGGCTGGTGCAAGGCCGAAGGAGATCTAGTGTGCAAAGATAGGGGTTAGCTGCGTCCCGCTGCCCTTGGGGAGTGCGAAGATGCCATACCAAGTCCGCCAGAGAATCAAGCTCCTGTCCCATGAGGGACGATTTCTTCCTCCATCTCGCGATTTTGCCATCCATAAAATCAAAGAATAAACCAAAGGGCATGAAACCAAGAGCGGCCCAAATAGCACCATAATCATGTGGGTCTCCTAGACAGTACCGCATCGACGAGAATACGGACATGACTATTCAGAATCTAGTCAGTGTCGGTTCACAATTTCGATTTCAATGAGATTTGCGGTCTTGCCTCCACAGAATCCTATCAAGTATGGTCAGTATAAAAAACGAATGATGTTTTTTTAATAGATCTTACCATTCAGCTCGGTCACCAAATCAGCAAGATGCAACGCCCTGCACGAAATTTGAATGAGCAACGTATCTTGATTCCCACCAGGCACTCAGATGCTAACCTGACCAAGCTAAAGTGACCCGTCTCCGACGAGAGGAGCATCTTCTGCTTTTCCTGACCTGCAATCAATGGGTGAGCATGTTGCGGTACAATTGCACTGTTGGTGATTCGAACTCACCACCGTCGCCTGAAGCTGCGACACCGCTATTTGAAGACTGACTTGACGACATGGCTGCTGTTCGACGAGACATGCTCAATCCGTATCAACAAGAATAGACGATATACGACGGAAACTTTTAGTAAAATGCAGGTTTCAGAGCGATCTGAAGGCTCTTGTAGGAAAGTAGCAGGTTGAAACAGGTCGAGGATTCCAGTGTTGACAAACGCACAGATTCTCCAGTTCTAGGGCGGCCCAGACGTCATTGGAAAGGCGGTGCAAAGCTGCGCCACACGATCAAGCCACATTATGCCAGGGAAAATTTCCAGCTTTTTAACATTCGATGATGCTACAGGCTGGTTAACCTCTATTTAAAGGTAATGGACGTAGTATTGTTGCAAGCGGACGACAGTTGGACCCGGGCTGTGTACTTTACAACATCGCAGAAATTGAAGCAGCAAACTTTCATATGCATAATAAAATATCTCGAAAAGAAAGGTTCCTGAAAGAGCTCCCGTTTTCCCATAACGCCATAATAAGACAGTACTAGTCAAGACAAACTGTCTATCGTCGGAAACCTCCACTTCCACCACGAGGTCCTCCTCTACCACCACCTCTGCTCCCACCACGGAAGCCGCCTCCACCGAAACCACCTCCACCAAAACCACCACCACCAAAACCACCTCCCCTAGGTCCTCCACGTCCTCGGGGGGCGCCGCCTCGGCCACCGCGAGGTGCACCACGTCCACCCCTGGCGCCTCCGCGAGCAAAACCACCTCTGCCACCGACGGCCCTCTTCGGTTTCGAACCTAGACACAAGTTAGAATAAGTATACGATAACTGGACGAAACTAAAAGCATACCCGGCGGCGGCTTAGGCTTGGGAAGGAACCTATTATTGGATAGTTAGTCACGCAAATATGCGAATCAAAGCGATGCAGAACGTACTTCTCAAGTGGAAGAAGCTTGTCTCCTCCAATATAGACCTTGTCGCCAGGCTTGAAGGATGTCGCGACAATGCCCTCCTGAGGCTTGATGGTGAAGTAGACCTGGTTGATGGGACCGAGAACTTCGTCGACCTTGCCGATAGGAGTCTGATGAAGAGTGTTAGTCACTAAGTTTGCGACAGGAGGTAGGATGCCTCTGTATCATACTTTGTTCTCGAGGTAGATAGGGGCGTTGAAGTAAGGAATCTTGGGATTCACTGATTCGCAAACCATCTCGCCCTCGCAAGCGTGCATAACAGTTCCCATCTCTGACAAATAATCAGTCATCCATCATTTCCCTCAATTGCACTCGCAACTGTATAATTACCCAGAACCTGTGCTGGCGGTCCAGTTTGTGCTTGGAATCCTCCGCGACCTGTCCGACGAAAATTTCGTTAGCGACCACCAATCTTCATCTTTGGCACTATTCGAACTCACCACCGCGTCCACCAAAATTTCCACCACGGTTGGCGCCTGAGGCGAAACCGCCACGGCCACCTCCACGAAACGACATCTTGATTGTGGTGTTGCGATTGATGGAGCTGTCTGGAGTTCGGAGTCCGGAGAAGTTTTCAAATGGTGGGTGCCTCGAAACGGTAAAGTGTCGCTAGCCGCCAGGGCAGTTTAATGTCACGTGCTTCACCGCCTTCCTTCCCCTCACCTTCTCGAATTATTATGACTCTTCGCATACGTTGAAGAAGAGTCATCGTTCTGAGTCTTCCCCCCTCTTATTGTGCGCGTCTCCCGAACTGCTGGTCTGAACTTGCAGATACAGCCATGGCTTTTGAAGACTCGAAAGAATTGCCATTACGGCCTGCAGAGGCCCAGGACGCCAATGCCACTGCCCCGCCAAAGGCTGCGAAAGCTAATGCGGCCTCGAATACCGACTCTCTCCCCGATTTCATGATTGAACGGAACAAGCTATTTGAAGAATTGTGGCAACAGTATCTTGAAGAGCTCAAGAACAAGCCTCACCCGGAAATCAATGTCCTTCTCGATCTCGGCAACGAGAGCCCCTCGCCTGTCCCCGCCAAAGCCTGGGAGACCACACCCGGATCGTTTTTGAGAGACGTCCCCAAGGAGATCAGCGCCAATGTCGTCCTCGCGAAAATCGATGGTAAGGAACTTTGGGATCTGAATCGCCCTCTGGAGCGCGACTGTACCGTCTCTTATGTTCTGTTCGACAGCCCCGAAGGACGGGAAGTTTTCTGGCATTCGAGCGCGCACTGCCTGGGTGAGGCATGCGAGTGCGAATATGGATGTCTACTCTCACATGGACCTCCCACTCCTCAAGGTTTCTTCTACGATATGGCCATGCCTGACAAGTCAGTTTGCCATTCCTACGTTTCCTTACGTGTGCCTTGTGATGGAATAAGAGTCTGACTCTAGAGAATAGCCGTGTTGTACGAGAGAGTGACTGGCCGGCCTTGGATAGCAGAGCGTCGCGGATCTTCAAGGAAAAGCAAAGCTTCGACCGTTTGGAGGTCACGAAAGAAAACCTCAAGAAAATGTTCGCCTACAGCAAATATAAATTGCACTACATTGACAAGCTTGTGACCGGAGAAAAGAGTACGGTTTATAGATGCGGTACCCTGGTCGACCTTTGCAGAGGTCCTCACATCCAGAACACGGGAAAAATCAAGACCTTCAAGATTATGCAGGTATGAACACGATCCTGCGGAAGCCGTTTTGCCAAGCCCATCGCTGATTGCTATGTCCAGAACTCTTCCGCATATTTCCTCGGTGATCAGACTAACGACTCTCTGCAACGTATCCGTGGTGTTGCTTTCCCCGATAAGAAGCAGATGCAGGAACATCTGAAGTTCTTGGAGGAGGCAGAGAAGCGCAATCATTTGAGAATTGGCAAGGACCAGGAGCTTTTCTTCTTCGATGAAGTTTCTCCAGGCTGCCCTTTCCTCCTCCCCAACGGAACCAAGATTTTTAATGCTCTCCAGGCTCTTCTGCGGTCCGAGTACCGCAAGCGCGGCTACCAGGAGGTTCAGACTCCCAACATGTACGACGTCGGCATCTGGAAGACATCTGGTCACTGGGCGCATTACAAGGATGATATGTTCAAGCTTGACGTGGAGAAGAGAGAATGGGCTCTTAAGCCCATGAACTGCCCGGGCCATTTCGTGCTCTTCGGCCACCGCGAGAGGAGTTACAGAGAACTCCCGCTGAGAATTGCGGACTTTGGTGTTCTGCACCGTAACGAAGCATCCGGTGCATTGAGCGGATTGACCCGTGTGCGGAAATTCCAGCAAGACGATACCCACATATTCTGTACCGAAGATCAGGTGAGGAGGGATCTTACCGCCATCTTTTATGTCTTATTGTCAACTAACTCCTCGCAGATTTCCTCCGAGATCGAGGGTCTCTTTGATTTCCTCCAGTCCATCTACGGATTGTTCGGCTTTACATTCAAGCTGAAGCTTTCCACTCGTCCAGAGAAGTATCTCGGTGAGCTCGAGACCTGGAACTATGCCGAGGAGCAGCTCAAGTCTGCGATGACCAAGTTCAAGGGTAAAGACTGGACGATTGACGAAGGCGATGGTGCATTCTATGGTCCTAAGATCGATATTACCATTGCTGATGCTCTGAAGAGAGAGTTCCAATGTGCTACTATCCAGCTGGACTACCAGGCGCCAATCAACTTCAAGCTCGAGTACATGACCAACGAGAAGGGCCAGGCTGTTATGGAAGAGTCGAAGAAGGAAGGCGAGACCAAGTCCAACGAACCTGGTCCCGGTCGGGCTCGCCCCGTTGTCATCCACAGAGCTATCATTGGTAGCTTTGAGCGTTTCTTGGGTATCTTGATTGAGCATTTTGGCGGCAAGTGGCCTTTCTGGATCAGCCCTCGTCAGATCCTGATTGTCCCCGTCATGCCTGCTGTGAACGACTATGTTGAGGAGCTGCAGCAAATCCTGCGTGGGGATAAATTGAACGTGGACATTGACATTAGTGGTAACACTATGCAGAAGAAGATCCGTACTGGTCAGCTGGCGCAGTACAACTTCATCTTTGGTAAGACTTATCGCGAACCCTGATCTTATTCCTGGATGGTATTGACTTTGGGTAGTCGTCGGCGCTCAAGAAAAGGAGTCTCGCTCTGTCAACATCCGTAACCGAGACGACCCTGCTACACAGAACAAGGGCGTCATGGTTCCTCTTGAAGAGGCTCGCCAGAAGCTCCGGGCTCTGAGAAAGGAGCGCAGACTGGTGAATGCTCTGTAGAGCGATCCGACACTGGTATCTAGCGTTATTGAGTGGTGTATCTCGAGGGCCGCTATTCTTACGGCCAGTGGTCTTGCGTAGAAGTTTATGACTTATGTAGGCATTGATTTGCCTCTCTCACAGAAAAGTAGACCTGGAGTATTTAGCGATGAAGACACGAAGAGAGTTCTAATCTAGAAATTATGGGGGTTCTCTGATCCTGTATTATGGATAATCTATCTACCCTACTTTAGATACATGGAAGCCACCTGCATGAATCGCTACATACCAACTGGTGGTCCCACCCGCGAGTATGGTGGGCCTATGAAATTTCGATCACCCCTTAATCAAAGTGGTGATATGTAGTGACTGGTCGCCATCAACGACTCCAGGTTGTATTTTGCCAAGATCATCTCTGGGGTTGGCAAGGGGGAATTCACCCGATTTCCCTTCTACAGGAGGGGAGATGCAGGTCAGTATTTTGCGTTCCTTTTCCAGCGAGTCCTGACTTCGCTGCAAGCAGGCGATATCTAACACGAACAGTCATGCCATCATGCAGCGACTTCATTCGTTTCGTCAATTGCGACACGCATCCCCACTGAAGCTTTTTGCCCTCGCTGCCGCCTTCATCTTGGTGTCCGCCTCCCTCGTGTTCTACTCCAGACCTGCCAGTCCCTCTGATGTCGACCTGGTCCCCTCGCTACCCTCCAGCAACAACGATTTAGAAAACAAAGGAACTTGCTATGTCGACCTCGACCTCTTGAGATCTCACGGGTACAATTCCACTGCGAAATATGCACGGCTCGAGATCGCCGTGAGGCGAACAGGGAACTTTACGGGATTCTCTGACACCTTGCCCACCCGTTTCCCCGCTTATCAGAAGATTCGTTTGGACACAGTCGAGCAACAAGCACCGTTGTCGCCAAAGATATGCTCTCCCGCAGTGACCATTCAAGCTCCGTTACCGGTCGCACCACCCAACGCGTCCCACATTCTGTTCGGCGTCGCGACTACACTGGAAAGACTGGATGATTCCCTGCCTGCATTCGCACACTGGGCGGCAGGAACGGACGCTCGCATATATGCTCTGGTGGACTCCGAAATACTCTCGGAAATAAGAAGGGTGCAGCAACGAGCCAACGAATTGGATATCCGTTTGACTATAATTCAATCGGACGATGACCGACTGGATCAGTACTTCTCTTTACTCCAGGTTCTGCTCAAGCACCGCGATGCATCCACGCGGTGGGCTGTCTTGATTGACGATGACACCTTCTTTCCTTCTATGCGGAATCTGGTGGACAGACTCGCAACCTACGACGCGACGAAACCACAGTATGTCGGGGCTCTGACGGAGGATCTCGCACAGATGTTCAGTTGGAGTTATATGGCCTTCGGAGGTGCTGGGATCTTCCTCTCAATACCACTCCTTGAGCAACTCAACAAAGTGTATGATGATTGCAACAGCATCAAAACCACCGGCGACCGAAGAGTGGCCAGGTGTATCTACACCTACACACACACAAAACTCACCTGGGACCGCGACCTGTATCAGCTGGATCTCCGCGGGGATGCTTCTGGCTTCTACGAGTCCGGTCGCCCACTGCCGCTGTCGCTCCATCACTGGAAATCATGGTTCCAGGCAGATATGGTTGGGCTCGGTCAAGTTGCGGCCATCTGCGGCGACGCTTGTCAGCTGCATCGATGGCGCTTGAAGGACAACTGGTTCCTCGTGAACGGGTTCTCTATGATCAAATATACTTCACCCGATAATGTTGATCTGATGGAGAAGACCTGGGAGGATAGTAAATACAGAGGCGGGGACGGCTTCGCGTTCAGTCTGGGTCCATTTCGCCAAAAAGATGAAGGCAAGGTGTCCTTTCGTTTGCAGAGCGCAACTCTGCAGGCAGGGTCAGTTCGACAGGTCTATATTCATGATGTGGGGCCTGAGAAGCCTCCTGAAGTACTGGAAGTAGTCTGGAAACCTGCACCTGGGTGATATTGCCTTCTGTCCAAGTTCTTTACAAAATTCCTTGGACGACTTGTCCATACAGAATACTCTGAGAGATTATTTAGCATTGAAGGCGAGCCGAAGCCATACTCGTTCATTGTTCCGATGGGACTTAGCAATGGCTGAGTTCTTGATTATTTTCTCCCTCGCTCTGTAGCGAATAATAAACTGTCGAATTGAGTTTGCCTTTCGTCTGTTCTAGACTTCAAGCTATATGATCAGGCTTGTCAGTACTGTGATTCCTGGCTAAGCTTCGAGACAGAATAGCCATTCAGTATGGATTATGGAGCCATGGGAATCCCCACCACAGCCCCTCTCCTGTCTCGGACGGCCTTCAGGCATCTATCCTTTGTTCTCGATGTCACCTCTCCTCTTTGACAACGAGTCTTTTTTGTAGCATGGACTCGCCGTAAATGCAGGTTTTTCTTTCATTTGCCTTTGTATATATTTATATCATGATTTAGGATCATCTTGATGGAGTCTCCTTCCTTTCTCTACGACTGCGGCGGAGCACTGTGATTATTATTGATTAGGTTGATGCACGTCCCGGCGCTCCAGCAGCTGCAGGCCCCAATCATTCCTTAATTAACTCCCCGTCACATCCCCAACTGCGCAGCTTCACATCAAAACACATTCCATTTCTCCTTTTCCCCCTCCCTGCTCTCTTCCTTTTCCTCCTTGTCTACCCCTCATTCTCCTTTTGAACACATTTCATTTATTGTTTTGTCCTCATTCCGTCGCTCCGTCGAGGTTTCGATCTGTTACTGCGGCTGCACCCTGTACTGCGGGGCTCGAACTACTGACAGCTCCCTTTCCACCAAGTCTGTCTCAGTTGCACCGGATCATTTTCCTCCTTAAATTCATTCAGAAATTTCAGCTGTGCCTTTTGCTCCATTAAGATACCCCCTTCGTCTTCACTCTCGTTGGCACTGAAGCATTGCGATTCGAATTCAACTCCGGCCACACACGACACTCCTCTGTCGATTCCCCACCCCGACTTTTCTCGTCGACCATAAGCCGGTCGCTCCAGAACAAAAAAAAGCTATCGGATTTGAGCCATGTCTGATCTACAGGGTCGGAAGGTCTTCAAGGTCTTCAACCAAGACTTTATCGTGGATGAACGGTACAATGTGACCAAGGAGCTGGGCCAGGGTGCATACGGTATCGTTTGGTAGGTTGTCTGCGCTCTCAAGCGGTTATCTGTTTCAGCATCAGGTTCGAGAGGGGTGTACGGCAAAAAAGAAGTGGCGCCAGAAGAGGTGGTGAAACGATCATCATTTATGATTGAGTCAAGTACTGACGACGATCACTTGACTGTAGTGCTGCCACAAATGTTCATACTGGTGAGGGCGTCGCCATCAAGAAGGTTACCAATGTCTTCAGCAAGAAAATTCTGGCCAAGCGGGCATTGAGAGAGATCAAGCTTCTCCAGCACTTCCGAGGCCACCGCAACGTACGCCAATCGCTTGTTTGTACTCGTAAGATCGGTAGGGCTGATCGGAACTGCAGATCACCTGTCTATACGACATGGACATTCCACGACCAGACAATTTCAACGAAACCTATCTATACGAGGGTGAGTGCCACGTTCACTGTGGTGCATCAGCAACCACTGATTGATTTCATGCAGAATTAATGGAATGTGATCTGGCCGCCATCATTCGTTCGGGACAGCCCCTGACCGACGCACACTTTCAATCTTTCATCTACCAGATTTTGTGTGGACTCAAGTATATCCATTCCGCCAATGTCTTGCACCGAGATCTGAAGCCTGGTAACTTGCTGGTCAACGCGGACTGCGAGCTCAAGATCTGCGATTTCGGTCTGGCCCGTGGTTTTTCGATCGACCCTGAGGAGAACGCCGGCTACATGACTGAATATGTTGCGACTCGGTGGTACCGTGCTCCTGAGATTATGCTGAGCTTCCAGAGCTACACCAAAGCTAGTATGTTCAATTCCTTTGCGATTAGATCGCCGGTATGCTAACGATCGTAGTCGACGTGTGGTCTGTAGGATGTATCTTGGCAGAGCTGCTCGGCGGCCGTCCTTTCTTCAAAGGCCGGGACTACGTTGACCAGCTCAACCAGATCCTCCACTATCTGGGTACTCCCAACGAGGAGACTCTTAGCCGCATTGGATCTCCTCGTGCGCAGGAATACGTCCGCAACCTGCCGTTCATGCCCAAGATCCCTTTTCAGCGCTTGTTCCCCAACGCTAACCCCGATGCTCTCGATCTGCTCGACCGCATGCTGGCCTTTGATCCAGCGTCGCGTATTTCCGTTGAAGAAGCGCTGGAGCACCCATACCTGCACATCTGGCACGACGCCTCCGACGAGCCCACCTGCCCAACGACATTCGACTTCCACTTCGAGGTCGTCGACGACGTGCAGGAGATGCGCAAGATGATCTACGACGAAGTGGTGCGCTTCCGCACCCTCGTCCGGCAGCAGTCCCAGGCGCAGGCCGCCGCTGCCGCGCAGCAGCAGCAACAGCTGATCGCTCAACAGACCAACGTTCCCATCCCTGACCACCAGCAGGGAGGCTGGAAGCAGGAGGAGCCCAAACCTCAGGAGGTGCACGCCGCGGGCGGCCACGCGAACGATCTGGAATCGTCATTGCAGCGGGGGATGGATGTCCAATAGACGTTTACCGTCGTTGGAGGATGTCTCGGTCATGTCGATTGTTGCAGTCCGTAAACTTAGTATATTATTACGTCATATATACCTCTTTGTTTAGGCACTACCGCTGGACATCACCTAGCAGAACATGTAGCCGTCCTGGTCTGGATGGAACTCAAATTATGTCCATCCCCTGTGGTAATGTTAATGCAGATGCATGACCAGACATTGTCTCCAAACTCGAGAGTCTAGCTCAAAGCTCAACGTAAATACATATACATGCACTAACCCATCAATTCAACTCTATAAACGAAACAAATCCATCAATCATTATCATCCAATCGTGTAAAAATCAAGTACCGTTCTTTACATAACCACCCATCCCGTCTCCCATCCTATCCTATCCTATCCTATCCTATCCTATGCTATCTCAATATAGGGCAGCAACATATAGACTATATATCCAAAACGTACGGAGTACGCAAAGCAAACCAAGGAAGGCTAAACGCTAGAGTTAATGATAATACCCCTTCCACCAAACAGCCATACAAGCCGCAACGACCAAATCCAACATCTTGATCCCCTCGTCTTCGACGATCAGTTTGCCTAGTTTGGCGCTCTTGCCGCGCAGGCCCCCGCCTGCTGGTTCGCGCGCGAGCGAGAAGTCGAGACGGTCGAGGTCGTCAGCGCCGCCGCCGCCGCCGCCGCTGCTGGTGCTGCTTGAGGAGGGGTTGCGGGTGTGTGCGTGTCTTTGTCTGTGTGGGTGTGCGTGGCCGGGTACGCCTGAGACGGAGGAGATGCTGGTGCCGGAGTGGGAGCGGGGTCTGGTGTAGGTTGTTGGGTTGAGGAGGTGGGCGAGGGAGTTACGTTTTGAGGTGGCGTGTGCGTGTGCGTGTCCGTTTGGGTGGGATGCTTGGCTTGGAGAGGAGGATGAGTGGCCTGGGGTGTCGGAGGAGGTCTGGCTGAGGGTGAATGGGGAGACATGGGCGGAGCTGGACGGGTGGCCGGCTTGAAAGGGGGTGTTGAAGCGGATTTCTGCGACGGTCACGGCTGGAGCCGCCGGGGTGGAGGGGTTCGTTCCATTGCCTGGGTATGAGGGCGTGGGGATCATGTGCTTGCATTTGAGGCTGCGGCCGTTGACGCTGGTGGAGAAGGTGCAGATGCCGTTCCAGGGGGAGGTGAAGGTGTAGTAGCCGCTTTTCAGCTTGGATTGGGCGTGCGAATGTGGCCGGGTCGGGCTACCAGTAAAGGTGTCCAGTGAGGCTCTGTTGGGAGGCATATCCAGGGAGCCTCGCGAGTCGTCCCGCTGATGATGTGGCCGCGATACGCAGAGCTGACGGCGGAATTTGCGTGGTAGGGACGGGTCCAGGGACCGTGTTTCAGGGTGCGACTGTGTAGGAAATTTGAACGTGGATGAGGATAGAGACTGTCCGTCTGATGGGAGGTTTATGCCCAGACTTTGCAGGGAAAAAGGCTCATCCTGGGCTAGGAACCGGTTGTACCCCGGAGTCGACACCTCTATGTCGACGGCGGTGCTGTCTGTCTTGGACGTGGAGATGGTCGCAACATTCCATTGACTGCCGTGAGTGGGATCGCGGCGGATGAGAGTGATATGGAATCCCCGTCGGTCTGCGGCCTGGCTGTGGTCGCGCGGCCTTCTGTGAGGAGACTGCCCTGGGCTCCTTGACGGCGACGGTCTGCGAGGGTTCGATCCTGCCCCGTCAGACGTATGCGGTCGTAGTTCGGGCCGACTGGTGTCCAGGCTACGTCGTCCTGCGGACAAGGCTTCGTACTTTTCCTTCCAGCTATCGAGCCCTTTACTATTGAGGTACCCCGACAGGGCGCTCCATCGATGACTCTTCGCCGCACTGTTGTTGATCGGGCCTGGCGTAGCTTCCTCTATTGGCACAAACGACAGAGGCCGACGCGGTGGTAACGGGGGTGCTCTAGTCTCTCCTGTATCTCCACGCGAGTCGCCAAGGTGGTCGCTGGTATCCGAGGCAGCGGTAGCTGACTCTAAACTGGGAAAGCCTTGACGAAGCGTCGGGCGGGATGGGGGAGGCGGAGGCGGAGAGTCGACAGTAGCAGTGTACGGCGAGTCATTCTCCTGCTGCAATGGTGTCTGTGGAAGAGGACCACCGGGGACAGGTTTTCGCCGGACATTGTTCAATCGCGCAAACTCGGGCGGTACTCCATCGCTCCATTGTTCCTTTTGTAGTTTCGCCTGTTGTTCTCGCTCCTCCTCGACCTCCTGCAGCAGGATCTCGTCCTCTGGCGTCGCAACATGAAGGTAGTAAAGGGAGGCGTTAATGGCTTCTGCGGAGATGCTTGATTTGGTCGGAGGCTTCAATGGCGAGAGAAATACATCTGTACATGTCAGAGCTGTCCGTCTTCCTCAAATGAAGTAGGGCTTGAATGAGTGGCGCGGGGCAGCTCCACAGGAGATACCTTTGCTTCCAGGCACGCGCACAATATAGAGCACGAGAGGATCTAGCTTCTTTTGCGTCGGATTGCGAGGATAGGCCGGTGGGTTGGAGGCTATGGTAGTGATGGACGAGAGCGAACGAGCCTCGACTGGAGGCTGAGGGACATTGGGATGGACCGAGGCGGGGGATAATGCAGAAGCTGCGTCCGCCGCACCGTCCACCACGGCCATTTGATTGTCTATTAACAGTCGCAGTGGCAGGTAGGTGACGGGGCGCACGGAATGAGCTGTATTGGACGACTGAAAGGGTCTAGGGAGGGCTGTTCCTGAGCAAAAACAAACAATCGCGGAGGAGCCGGGAGGATTGGGCCGTTGTGGAGAAACCGCCAAGAGATTAAATATCAGCGACGATCTGCATGAATTGCAGTAGATGGAGAGAGATGATGACCGGTCAAGCAGAGAGGGATCTAGAAAATAACAGGGGTCGTAAAGACAAGTTTGTTGTCTAGAGTACGAGACACGTAAGTGAGCGGCGAGTCTGCTAAAATCGCTGCCTGGAGTACGACTGCAGATCTATGGACCCAATGGCAGAAGCCAACTTCCATCGAATTGGTATCTCGAAACAAACGAAAATAGCTACAAAGAAACTATGCCCGTTGCTGAATCCATTATTACTGAATGAAACATGAATAAAAATGAAGGAGACAAAGCCCGAGTCCCATTGCCCGGCCAGATAAACCAAGGATATCAGATATGAACTCCAATGCGTCCGCTGAATGATCCGCTGTTCTGTACCTATTCGACGATCGAATGATCGGTCTCGATTGAATAACTGCTCTATACAACCGTTTCGGACCGTTCGCCTTCCGCGATGATCGGAACGCTGAGACCACGCTCGGGACTTTGTAGTACTAGTTGCTCATGCCGCCGGGCCCGTAAGAAGTCGCTGATGGCGCGTATGAGAATGAACCAACCGACAATCATCAAGACATACGAAACCCACTCGCTCGTGGTGATATCGGATATCGCGCCGCCGCCGCCGTTGCCACCGGAACCATCAGACACTGAAGTTGGATCAAAGGTGTGGCTGTTGGGATCTGGAGGAGGAACATAGTCCGCACCGCCATCACCCGATCCCCCATCACTCCCTCCTTTCATGTAGAAACCATACTGCACTAACGTGAGGCCGAGACCAGCTCTGCTACCGTTTTTCGCGGCGTGTGTGGTGTGAAGAAGATATGTCAGGAGGAAGCCGACCAGTTGGAAGGACATTGAGATCATGGCGTTCCAGACGAAGGAGAAGATTGAGCCAACGGGCAGTCCATCCACATAGACCTCGTCGGACGAGATGCCGGGGGCCAAGATGGTGGTCTCCCAGTACGGGGGTGTGGCGTCTGCAGCTGCTTCTTCGTAGGACTATAGACGTCAGGATCCCGAATATTAGACTCAGATACTCAGATAGTATGCTTACCGGAGGTAGATCCTCGTTCTTCTCTCCGCGTTCTGGCTTGGCCGCCAGGTTGGCAAAGACTCCGTCATTTGACGAACTGATCACGCGACCTGCGCCTGACGAGGGTGTGCTGAAACTGGGCAGTATTGTTGGTCTTCTCTGAAGTGTCGAACCCGACTGATTACTCTGTGATGATGGTTGTTCGTTGTTGGCGGCCGATGAAGGGGCAGTCTCTCGGCCACTTCCCGCTGACTGCTCCGGATGGGCCCGCATCAGTCGCTGTCGGTCATCGGGTTCGTCATCTGCCTCGGAATCGCTGGCGTCACCAAAGGCGTCGGCAAGGGTCTGGTCTGCATCGCTTCGATGGGGGTCATTCTGGAGAAGTCTTCTTGATGAGAAGGAAGAGGAACGAGAATGGAATGAGGGAGGCGGAGACGAGGGCGTAGGGGCGGTTTGCAGAGGAATCGACGAATGAGAGTCGACTTCGTCGTCCTCGTCATGGGCATTAACCTGCAAGTAGTCAATATCCTGAAGGGATCGATATAAAAATATGTCTATATAGATGGAGTGCTGCCTACCCTTTGATAACGCTGCGAGCTCATGACGAGCTGAGCAGGTGCACGTAGGGGACACTCGGATACGACAAAAGAAACAACAACTGTGAGATGAGAGAAAGGAGACAGAAAGAAGCAGATGAAAGAATGTGCAGAGATGTAGTAACACTCGATTTGATACTTGTGAGGCGTTGACTTAGGATGAGGATGGAAGGGGATCGACCGCTGTCTCCGTAATCTCCTCACTAATCAGGCAGACAGCGGTGGCGGTGACTGGACATCAGTGTGGCTGATGTGGTCCATGTGGCTGAAATTATGGCCTGGAATCTGGGGCATCTCCGATTTTCCGATATCATCAATCCATCATCTGCTTTATCAGACGTTCAACTGCAGAACCACAGCTCTGTCGCCTTACACCTTGATCCTTTGATTCAGCTCTCAGATATTGTGAACTATTTACCTGTCTTTGCATCACTAAAGACAAAAACATATCAGTATCTCACCATGAGCAAATCAGTAAGTCCACTCCAACACCACCGTGCAAAAAGCACCTCACTAACAGCTGCAGACTCTGAACCCCCAGACAATACAAAACCGCATCAGTCATCTCCTGAAACACTGGCCGGCCGACCGCGTCCGCCCGGCCTCTGTCTCCGTTCAGAACTACCTCCAATCCCACCTCCCAACAACACAACCGCAACAAGCGCAGCCACAACAAGCACCGCCGTCCAAGACAGAAATCTCAGAGGCCTCGCTCAATGCCCTCTCGTCATTACTGGAAGACCGTTACGCGAGACGGTATCCGTTACCGCCGAAGCTGCGGCGGCCGGCGGCGAACCCGGACCACTACGATAATGTTGTGAAGGAGTTTGAAGAGGCACCGGGGCGGGATTTCTGGGGAAGAGTTGGGAAAAGGCTTGGGGGGTTGTTTAGATTTACGTGATGGATGGTGTTATGGTGTAAGATAAGTGTATGTATATAGCTGTTGTCATTGTACTATTAAAAAGTTGATTAACTTCGATAATTGAGCTGCAGAAGGTAATGATCTGGAAGTTGTATACTACTTGTCTTGGATAGTTACTTTGCTATAAGTTATAGTTGATGACTACGAGACATTGTCGAATGTAATAGTATTCCTGCCATCTTGATCGAATATACTTGGATGTATCAGCGTCTTGCATCTTGCCTTTTGCATCCTATGCTCTATGCTCTATGTCTATTTTAAACAACCTTGACCTGCATAATCAGCAGATTGAGAAATGCTGTGCTACAAGCAGTCGTCTAATTCTTCCCACCAAACAAATACATACTTCTACTAATGATTTGTGTCCAAGTATCTGCAAAACAAAGCATAAGCTCAACCTGAATGCCTCCGCACAGCGATGTCATGACATGGCAAACCTTTCTATACGAGGTGGACAACCTCCAATTCGACAGGTCTCAAACACCCTGAAACGCGACCAACAGCATTGATATCTGACAGTCAGTGCTGAAGGGTATCTGTCAGCTGTTCTATGCATATGCAACATGGTGATGTAAGACATACTGAGATATTCGATATATATATTTACATCTATCCGCATCTACTACTACCATCAACATCTACAAGTACAACCAAACTAAACACAATGCATCTCTCCCACCTCGCACCCGTCCTCTTCCTCACCCTCGCAGCAGGTATCTCAGCAATCATAATCTACACAGAGAACTCCACTAACGAAGATAGCATCCCCCGGCTGCCCCAATAACCTCTGCGGAGATAAACCTTGTCCATCCCCAAGCACCTGCACAACCTACACCCGCACCTCCCCCTCCTCAACCCTAACAACCTGCATCCCCGCCCCAACCTGTCTAGGCGTTTACCGTAGTACCCCCCAGCCATGCATACGAGTTGCTCGACCTGCTGACAAGGTGACATAGAATCCTGCTCGTTCGGTACCGGCCTCAGTTGCTGCTCCGGGTACTGCGCCGCGACGAAATGCCGGCCCACGAATCCCAAGTGGCCGGCCTGCGCGGAGGATTTCCAGCTGTGTGAGGCTGATGCGGACTGTTGCTATACTGGAAGTAAGTGTGTGGAGGGGATTTGTCGGAGGGTTTAATTGATCCTACGGGCTGGCTTGCGTTATGATTATGGTATGCTTTATGAAGTATGAAATGAATTGATTGTGTTATGTAAAAGCAAATTTGCTACTATCTCATCTCTCGTTTCTCGTGACTATCTCATACTGTCTAGCAGTTGAGGTTCACGGCTATGTCCATGTTAGTTGGGGAACTCTTGAAAGTGGAAGAGGAGAGGGGAGGTACCGTTCGCAAACAGGGCATAGGAATCCGCGTTGAGCACAGCCTGGCTGGTACCCAAGGCAGTGGAAGCCCCGTATCCATAGGCGTAGTCCTCCGTGCCGGGCGAGTACACGCCCGGGGCATGGGTGAACTCATGCAGGGTAGTGGTGGCTTGGTCCTGGGCGTGGCAGGAGCGGGTCAGGGCGGGGAGTTCGGAGTAGTAGATATCGCAGTTGGCGATGATGTTGTTGGAGGGGAGAGTATAGGCGAGGGTGTTGGAGTCGCAGTAGCCGTAGGGGTCATTGCAGTAGTAGGTAGTCTTGCCGGACGACTGGGACGAGGCCTCGTTTGCGACGGCGCGGAGGCGTGCAGCGACGGTGTTGCGGGTGGTGCTGGAGGTGGTCTTGAAGTACTCCTGGAAGCGAGCGGAGGAGCCCGAGGAGGCAGCGCTGGCAGCGGCGTTGGCGAGCGAGACGGTGTTGCGGAGGGCCGTGGCGAGGGCCGTGGCGCGGCTGCTGGAGCAGGAGGTGACCTTTGTGCGGCGGTCGAGGAGCTTAATGGCCTGGGGCACGGCGGCGGCCTTTGCGGCGTCGACCTCGATCTCGAGCTCGTTCGACTGGTAGGGGATGTAGCCCGAGACCTTGTTGTCTGTGGCCATGGGGACGACGCCGTCGGTTCGGATGGTCACGGGGCCGCCCTCGGTGAGCGCGGCGGTGCTGGCGATGTCGAACTCGTCCTCGAAGGTGGCGCCGGGGGCGAGGGTGGTCAAGGCATCGTTGGAGAGACCTTGGGTGAGGTAGCGCCGCTTGATTCCGGTGAACTCAACCTCGGTGGCTGGACTCGTTAGTATGTCTTTGTCTCAGGGGCAGTGTGAGGAGGAGGATACCATTGCGGAAGAGCGAGACCTTCTTGACAGGGGCCGCATCGTTAAAGAAGTTGAGATGCACAAAGGTAACCTCCTCTTTGCCAGTGTTCTTGACGGTGGCCTTGATGCGGGTGTTGTCGACCTGGGTGAGGGTGACATCAAGGGTTGGGGCGTTGGCAGGAAGAGCCAGAGCGCCATTGATGAGGGCCAGAATGGCAGAAGCGAGGACAGTGACCTTCATGATGATTGGATTGGATTGGATTGAGATGCTTTGCTGTTGCTATCGCTCTTGCCGACGCTTCTGTTGGACCTGGGATCATCCTCGTATTTATAGACATCCTGGGGCCGATAACTGAAGCATCGATATCACAAACAGGGCTTGAAATCGAACGGAGATATGTCCAAAACAGGAGGTTACATCTATCCCGTCTGCGACTTTGACAGGACGATAAGACCCCGATTGTCTGAAGACCTCCATGGCGTTTTACAAGCCGGCAGAACCACTCCGCGAGGCTTGTTGAAGCACCACCATCGGCCGGGCCGAGAATTAAGCTTGGCCCGCCGGAGGACCGTTGGTTCAGGAAGGCGAGATTCTTGTCTGCATGAGGTATATCAGCGTTGGCCGCTTTGGATTGGAACGCCAAGAGGGTTGGTCCGGCCTGTAAATAAATGAAGAAGGAGTTTACCCGGTGGTCCGTCTGCCTGGAGAGGAATGTCCGTGTCGAGTGCCGAGATAGTCTGTCTGCAGAATGTATCTCCAACCATTGAGGTCTATCGGCATGTTTCCGGCTGTGATCATATCAGCATTGTTCTTGTGGTGTGTTGACTTCAACATACTGAACAACAGTGATGATGGCGGGTCTAGACTTGATCTGCTCGTATTCTAGACTCAGACCCTGAGTTTCCCCTGAGAATCGGGTGAAACGAGCGGATTCACTGACCATGACTGTCAGAGAAGTCTGGGGCTGACTCGTAACGGTGACTGAAAGAGACAAAGGCATAGATTAAAGTGCCGATCACCACCACTTTATCAATCCTTAATATCCGGCTGATACTGAAGCAATGCAACCCAAGACTTCTTGTCTCACTTCCCCCTCTTTCATTCCCAGTTATTTTCCTGCTTAAAAGCTTGGCAGCTTCCGCTGTGCATATAATTGGTGCATTACATATCTTCATGCAAAGCTTGGGGTTTCATCACCCATCCCCTCATCTCTCATCCCCCTCCACCGCTTCTCCGGCTTCGTCCGTTACTTCCGGTATCAGACACTATTCATTTCCTCCTCCTCAACTGAACGACTGAACGACTACCAACCGACGACTGACGACTGACAACCGACGAGACATGACAAACCTCCAAGTAATCCTCTCGCCCGTCCCTCCCTCCGCCACTCCCCCCATCAGCCTCCCCATCAACATCGCCATCCACAACCCAGCAGCGACCCCAGTAACCTTCCTCAACTGGGGCACCCCGTTCGACCCCAAAGCCAACCTCCTGGGCGTCTTCCAGATCAACGACACCACCGCCGATCAGCCCATCACCCTCGACACCATCAAGTTCAACCGCCAGCTGCCTCCTTCGCGGGACGATCTGGTCGAAATCCCCGCCGAGAGCTCCATGGAGCGCACGATCACCATCCCGCATGTGCCACTAGAGGAAGGACACGAGTACGCCGTGCAGGCAAAGGGCATCTGGCATGGGATCTGGGAGTGTCCCCGCGACCAAGTAACGGATTCGCAGCTGCAGCAGCTCGACCAGAGGGGGGAGTTTGAGTCCGAGCAGGCCGTGTTCAAGGTTACTCAGTAGTTGCCAGCATCCTGTACCAAGTACAGACAGTCAATGGATGTGTTGATGTTGTACATGTACGACTGGACCCCGTATATAACCTCCACCACTGCGCTTGTAGTATGCTTATATCCTTCGATACCCCAAGTCACTCATAGTGTAATAGCGAAACAAAGAAATGGTTGCTTATATTGATATCCCCACCGACGCAGCCCGCGTGCTCTCCGTCTTCTTAGCAGGCGGGATAGCCATCATCCCCTCGAGCGTCGGCTACGGGATCGTAGCCACGGAGTCTACCGCGCTACAGCGCATCTACACGGTGAAGCGTCGCCAGCCGCACAAGCGCCATGCTATCATAGGCAGCTACGCGCTGCACCGCGAGATACACGTCCTCCCGCCTGACAGAATGGATCTCGTGCGCTTGCTCACGGTTGACCTAAACTTCCCGCTAGGGGTGATCGCTCCGTACCGGCGGGACCACCCGTTGATTGCGAGACTAGACGAAGAAACACTGGCGGCGAGTTCGATGCATGGCACCATGGCCATGCTTGTTAATGGGGGTCCATTCCAGGAGGAGCTGGTACGGGTGGCTGCTGCCGGCGGGAGGGCGGTGCTTGGCTCGAGTGCGAATCTGACAGGGCAGGGGACGAAGACGATGGTGGAGGAGATTGAGCCGGAGATTCACGAGGCGGCGGATATTGTGGTTGATTATGGACGGGTGAGGGATTGCTGGCCGCGGGCGAGTTCGACCATGGTGGATTTCGAGAGTATGCGGGTGGTGCGCGTTGGGGCTTGCTATGAGGTTATTCGTGATGTGGTGCAGAGGTTTGCCGGTATGCAATGGCCGGATCCAAGTGTCAGATGAGGTTATTGTTGTTGCCGGTGTAAGTTAGGGTTGCATCCGCAGTTGGAACGAGTAAACAGCTTATATCTACTACGCTGCCAGTACTCAGCCATCTTAAGCATAGCTATACGAGCATCGTATAGCATCGTATATCAACCAATTAGTATCTCCAATGGCCAGACTAAACCACCTAAACCGCCGATCATGCAACCTTGGGTGCACTAATCTAACCCCGAATGGCTTCATTTAGCGAATCTCAAGTATATAACTAGCCCTTCGGTTCTACTTCTCACCATCACCCAAACCACAGCAAAATGAAACTCTCAACCCTCCTCCTCAGCGCAGTCTGCACTGCTACTTCGACAGCAACTACCACTGCAAACCAAGCAGCAACCCACGTAATCTACTCCTACCCCGGCCCCTCCCCCCCGGCAAGCCTTCTCTCCCTCATCTCCTCCGGCAAAGTAGGCGGCCTCATCCTCTTCGGCGAAAACATCGACGCCAACCTCTCCACCACCATCGCCAGCATCCAAAAAACCTACGCCTCGTCCCCAGGCTACAATGGCACGCCACTGCTCATCATGACCGACCAAGAAGGCGGCAAAGTCCGCCGGCTCCCTGGCGGCCCGACCCTCTCCGCGAAGCAGGTCGGCATGTCGGCCGATCCGGCATCTACAGCTGCAGAAGCAGGGACAGAAGCTGCGAGCACACTGAGCAAGTACAGCGTGAATGTGAATCTCGCGCCTGTGCTGGATGTTTACCGCTCCGCGGGGAACTTTATAGATGAGTATGGTCGGTCGTATGGGAATTCCTCCCGGTTGGTAACGTCTTGCGGGGAGGCGTTCATCGCCGCGCAGCAAAAACAGAAAGTGATTGCTACGGCAAAGCACTTCCCTGGACTCGGGGCTGCGGGGGCAGGCGAGAATACAGACCTCGTGCCGGTGAGGATTGACCGCGGGCTGAAGGAGTTGCGGCGGGTGGATGAAGCGCCGTATACGGCTGCGATTGCGGCGGGGGTGGAGATGGTGATGGCCTCGTGGGCGGTGTATCCTGCGCTGGATGATAAGCCGGCTGGGCTGAGTGAGAAATGGATTCAGGGAGAGCTGAGAGGGAGGCATGGGTTTAGGGGTGTGACGATCACGGATGCGATTGAGGCCGGGGCGTTGGGGGCGTATGGCGATGATGCGGCGAGGGGGGTGCTTGCTGCGCAGGCGGGGATGGATCTGCTTCTTGCGTCGGCGAGGAATGTCTCGCAGGGGGAGGCGATTGTGGATGCACTGACCAAGGCATTGGAGACAGGGGAGGTGGATACGGAGGAGTTTGAGGCCGGCACGGCGCGAATCATGGCATTGAGACGGACTTTACATGTATAGACAGATTATCTAGGTCATGAATAGATGTAGCAGTATTCCTCTCCCAATGGATCCATCAAATCTGCCACCCTCTTCGGGCCCCCCAAGACCCCAAACTCCACGACCGTATCGACCGTCACGTTCGGCGCCCACGGCGGATCAAACATCCCCGCCGTTCCATTCAGGGCATACCGTCGCTGAGGACTTGCAGCCTGCCACATCGCCCACAGCCGATCCACCATGGCATGATGCAAAAAGAACGCCGGGTCCTGCACCGACGAAAACACATCCCCCATCGTCGGCCCCAGCGCAACATGCCCCGCGGCATGGGCGCCCAACCGGCCCGCGGTGCTCGGGTCCAGCACCCCCAGGAACTCCTGGATCGTTTGAGCGGTAAGCATGCGCTGCACGGTGTCGTGACCGGTGAACCGCTGCAGCGGACGGGGGTTAAAGCTGCGCATTAGACATCGCGGGTTGTATCTAAAGGCGGACGGATCGAGCGGGCCGTACAGCTTGTCCAGGCTGTGGAGGCTCAGCGGGCCCATGTTTGCTGACCAGGCCGGGAAGGTGAAGGGCCCGGCTGTCACGCAGCCGCCGCCGCTGCCTCGGCCAATACAGCCTACCTGCTCGTCGCAGAGGATACGCTCGTCTGGGTTGTAGGTGCCGTCCCCGGAGAGGGAGGAAGGGGAGTTATCGAAGAGGGGGGAGACGGTGAGGTTGGGGTGTAGGGGCCAGTTCCAGTAGGGAATGGAGCCATTGTAGGCGCATTCGGTGCGGAGGGCGCTTTCGAAGAGGTGCAGGAAGTGGCGGTGCCAGGGGAGGAAGAGGCCGTTGTTGTGGATGCGCGAGGTGTAGTTGATGTGTGTTCTGGCTGTCATGAACCAATGCATGAGAGACAAGAGGATGGAACATACGCTACAAAGTCGTCGAATCGATCCCGGACTCCGGGGTACTGGTCATTCGGGAGGATCGAGGGAAGAGACCGTAGACAGAACAGCGCATCGATGTAGTCTCGTCGTTCGAGGCGTGTCAAGGAGCTCCTATTCAATCAATACTCGTCCTCTGCTGGTGGCATCACATACCATTCTCGCCTGACTCGCGCATTTTGAAGCGTACACGGTAGGGCAGGGGATGCAACCACGCCTAGGAGGAAAAGAAAAGCAAGAAGCATGATTGCTTGAAGATTAAGATAGAGGCATGTCCATTATTTAAATCTGCCTGACAGCTAGACCGATCCTGCTGTGTAACGGTGCTTCTGTTTGCACAGGGATCAGGATCATAGCCAATACGCTGGCGGTGTCTAGGAGAATATCCACATATCATACGATGATTGCATGCTATTATTGCCTGTCCTGTACGTACATGCTGACAGCCACAGCTACAGCTCCAGTTTATGTTCCGGTTCGTCCACGCAAAACACACTCCAGATCGGCACCGGTTCATCGCTCTCGTGCACGCCGGGTTTCAGCAGTGTCTGCCGTCCGATACACATGGGGCCTCTGTAGTTTGGTCAGTATGCTGAACTAGTTTGAGACTCATCAACAATCAGGCAGCGTACGTGAAGAATCGACATGGCTTCTTGAGCGACACCGTCGTCACCTCACTGCAGTGGTCAGTCAGCACCATAACCCCAAGCGCCGTTTGCCGTGGACGTACTAGGATTCTAGAGTATGACAATCGTCCAAGGGAACGCTAATTGATTTGCTTCCTTCTTCGATGGTTTCCAGCCCGATCTGCAATATCCCTGTTAGTGCTGCGTTGGAAATTAGAGTGGATGACTGACAGTCGTGTTTTTGGCTGCGGCCGAGACGACCAAGAGCATGACCCAGGAGAGACGCATTTTGAGTAATCGTATGAATCGTATGATGGTAGAATAGAGAAGAGAATCGGGGAGAAAGTATTTATTTCTTACAAACTAGGGATAGAGGGATAACAAGGGGTGGACTCGACTCGTGTCTCCCTTGCGGATCGATACACAGTGTAAACATTCCTACCATCGTGATGAAATCAATTGTTAGGACCATTCAGGATCCACGACAGATTGAATCTCCTCCAGATGATGGCCCGATACGAATCCTTGCCCGTGCCATCATTGAAGAAATCACTCTCCACCAACGCCCCAATCTTATAGTCCCCCGTCTTGGTCATACTCGAATAACCTCCCTCATTGCCCGCCCCGGTAACCTTCGCATCCTCCAGCTTCCGCCCATAATCGAACTTGCGCGCGTCCTCATCATAGCTAATCCGCACGCGCATCTCCCGCCGACTCCCCCCCGACGCGGAATTCAAAAAGATCGTCCGCGCCGGCGCATCGCTGTTATACCGCAGCACAGACCCCTCGCACGCTGGATCCGGCAACCCGGTGTCCGTCGCAAACGCCCCGAACCCGCCGTCTAGCGTCCCCCGCGCCACAATCCGGTACCCCTTGGCGCTGGGCCGGTCATTGCGGTACAGCTTCCCGTCCGGCGTCTGCGCGATCGTCCCCTCCGCCCCGGCCCCGGACAGCCGCTGCACGCTCCACGTGCGGTTGCCCGGCGCGCCGCGGCCCACGATATTCCGGCCCATGGCGGGGATGACCAGCTCGCCGGTCGTGAGGCGGATGCCGTTGCCGGGGCCGACGGCGTCCCAGGCCCAGCCGTTGGGGGTGAGCTCCTTGGTGAGATCTACTGGCTTGGACCAGCTGTTGCCGTCGTCTTTGGACTCGGTGAGGTACAGGTGTCGCCGGCCTTCCCAGGTGGTGTCGATCTTCTTGGTTATCGTGCCGTCGGGGAGGACGTCCTTGCCGTGCTGGCTGTAGGTGGCGCCGTTCCACGAGAGGAACAGGTAGATGGTGTTGTCGTCGTCGACGACAGGGGTGGGATTGCCCCAGGTGCCTGCGCCGGAGCCGACAACTTCGCGGAGAGACTCCCAGTCTGATGGGGACGCGCCATTGTTCGTGGTCGTCTTGGTGCGCTTGTAGACGAGGTTGATGTCGCCAAAGTCCTGGTTTGTGTGCCGGCGGCCCTCGGCGAAGGCGAGGATGCGGCCGGTCGTGGTGCGGACCACGGCGGGGATGCGGAACGAGTGGAAGCCGATTCCTGTAGACAGCTTATCCGGCGAGGCCATGTTGGCGCTGCGGAAGAGAGGGAATTCATCGTGGTAGGGGGCGGCCGATTTGGCCGGGTCATCGATTGCCCATGCTGGGAGGAACTGCACAAGCAGCGTCAGGATGATCAAGCGCATCGATTGCATCTTGCTGGATTGCTGCTGTCGTGAATCTGACCGGTCGCGTGTCAGGCTTTATAGCCATAGCCAGAAATTACGTCTTGAGCACCCGGATCAGGTTATCCAAACATTCTTGAATATCAACGCACGTGGGTGTAGTAGCTACAGCTAAATATAATCTCGTGTTGAGACCTCGTATACGATCGACATGCACATCGTATTCCTTCTATCACTTATTATGGCAAGTAGCGAATACGAACTCGGAAATTAGACCGGCCGTGTCAAGCTGCTAAGGATTCCGCCGTAGCTTGGCGCTCTTCATTTTGTTGCATTCGTATGATGCTCAATTGAGAATGGCTCTCTGTCATCACAGCATGCAGGGCAATCCGCCGACGCCACTCGTCGTGTCCGCAATCATTGTACCTGACTGGAGCGAACGGGCTTACGGTAGCTCCTTGCTGCAAGGGCAGGTTACATTGGAGTGAGGTATTCGACATGTTCACCGCTGAGACAATATACTGAAAGCAAGTCGTTCACGGTGGTCTCCTGACGAGTGCTGCGAGTCTGGCAAGGATATACCTCGGATCAGTCAACCAACTGCGATTGTCATCTGCGATACAAACCCGACTTCAGGGGTAGCCCGTGGACCGCGGATCAGCGCCTCTTGACAGAACAGACCACTTTAATCCAATAATGGTGATAGAGAAGCCATGTATAGAACAGCCCATCTAAAACAGACCAAAGGCATGTTGCACTGGCCTCCTTAAGTACTGAGAGTTACATCCATTGTAAACATCATCACGCTAACTCGCAACATGGAATCATTCACACCGATAAATGAGAGGAGATGGATGCCTGTGTTCATCTAGGGGCTAGAAATATAGGTTCATTATTGTGCGGTGAGCTTGCCCATCCTGATATTCTAATTCTTTCTTTTGGCATTAAATAGCCAGCAAAACCGGTAAATTATAGGGTGGAAGGAAGACAGATACACTGTAGTTATAGTAGATAAGCATGAGTTAATGACAAAATTACTTCCTGATTTTCATATGACCACTTGTCTCTCCTTTACACAGCAGTTAAGATTGCATGGATTCTGAAAGGTTAAGTAGGGCTACAAGCACCTACTGTTTAGATGTGACCTTCCCTAAGCTATGTACTTAATTTGAAGAAAGATAGGAAGACTTTACCACTATCCTTATTTATTCTTGAATCCTCTCCCTATCTGATGTTATGAATTTACAGTCCCCTAGCTCGATTTATCACTAGAGAGGTCTACGAGTTACAGCAGTGCATAGTCATCCCTAAACTAGGAACATCCGTCAAGTGCAGGAAACGCTGCCTTGAATGGGTGTAATTCTCATGCAGGGAACTACAAAGTTATCAAACAAGGAAGAAAACCAAAGACACTAGATACAGGCACAGCAATATAGTGATTGTGTGCTTGAAAATTATTACTTGACAGCCAGTGCCCGATGTTAAGCCAAGCTCTCGCCATGCATTGCCCATAATCAATGGAAACAAGAGCCAAACAAATGCTGGGGAGACCCTACTTCTATATACCAAACGTAGACTTCTCAGAGATCATGGTTAAGCCGTAGTCTGTGGCAGGTATGTTGGCGTATTATGAGAAGAATTAGCGCTATTCTATGCTGTGTAACTCTGCATAAAGGTCATTCATGAAGAGCTATATATTAGGCACTGACTTTTATCAGGAAGGGCGCCAGTAATGTTGTCTGCGAGAAAGATATCCAGCTGTTCATTTGCCTAAAGGTTTAGTACTTCTGATGTAGAAATTTGACATATTCAGTGCATTGCTGCCGTCATTGACCATTGCCATCCTTTATCTGCGTCTATGTACAATACTTGCTTCACCATATGGATTTGAGAATCTCCTTAGACTCATTAGGTCTTCATTGCGGAAGATGGCCCGAGCCAAGATCTGTTCTTGTCATGGATAACGCCTCGTTTCACCACCGAGATGAAATAAGTCAGATGTGCTCTCAAGCCGGGGTCCAACTTGTGTATATGCCACCTTACTCTCCGGATTTGAATCCCATTGAGGAGTTCTTTTCAGAGTTGAAAGCCTTTATTCGGCGGCACTGGCAATCCTTGGGATTCCCTTGAACCGCTCCCAAAGTACAGGGATGGGAGCGAGAGTCTGCAAACTATGGTCGCGGAAAACCACCATGATCATCGACGAGGTGAGCATGATAGATCTGTCCACCCTCAGCATCATCGACAACCACTGCAAATCAGCTAGATCGCTTGAGAGATCCTACTCAGACCTTAGCGCATGGCTAGGAAGCAAGGATACTGTCGGCTTTCGTGCAAGTTTCCTTTCGTTTCCCTCCTATTCCCTATCATTATAGTTCACTTCACGCTGTAGCTCCTCGAGCCACTCGAGTTGAGCGTGGCGGATTTGGCTTTGCTCCAAATCGGGCGAACGTAGTACATCATCCACTGGAACATGCAGGTACTCATGGTTTTGGCACCCTGGCACCACAGTACAACCCTGTGTATACAGGTTGAAACACACATCACAGAGATGGACACTCCAACAGTCGTGGCAGATATGCATACCCTCATCTATAAAACATAAACAACCATCACAGACACAGAGAAAGTTTCCAGCCACAGCGAAGATATATTTATAAGCTGTTCGAGCATGGTCTTGCTTTCCCAAGTTGAGGAGTGCATATCCAAGGTCTGCCAGGCGGTCGAGGTCAAGCGGATTGCCTCGTAGCTCTTCAGATAGTATGCCCACCGTGTTGCGTAATGTGTCATGTCTGGTTGAAATAGTAGTCATTTTGTAACTACCTCGGGCTTCCTCCATTTTGTTGAACAGTGCTGTCGCACTACTAGCGTAATCAAAAGCAGAGCGGCCAAACATATCAATCCTGTCTGGATCTGCGTTTAATTGAAGCAAGCACTCCAAAATGTCCGCCCTCTTGTAACGGATGGCAAGGTGAAGTGGCGTAACTCGGCGTGCCCCGCAGTGATTGACAAGGTTGTCTATAGAAGCTAATCGAGCTGACACCTCGAGATCGCCTCGTAAAATTGCATAGTGCAACGGCGAAAATCCGTATCCAGTGAGAATAAATGGATTCGCGCCGTGTCCTAGTAACCAGTTGGCAATATCAAGGTGCCCGCCAATGCAGGCAAGGTGTAAGGGAGTCTCTCCAAGCGTGTTGGCTCCATGGATCGGGGGCGTGGTTTTTTCGAAAAGAAATTCAATCATGGCTGTGCGTCCAAAATACGCCACCGAGTGAAGAGTCGTGTGGCCTTCCAAGTCGGTTTCATTGGGATCACATCCTTTGGTCATCAAGTCCCTCACCAAGTCAAGGCGTCCCAACGCAACCGAAAGTTGTAAGGCTGTCGAGCCTGGAACCCGGCCTGGTGATATCTTTGCCAGTTCGTGCTCTAGTATTACACGCTCAACCGATATATTTCCGTTCGCTATTGCAATCTGTAAAGCGGTACGGCCCGCATCGTCTTTCGCATCTATATCTGCACCGCTGCGAAGAAGGAGTTTAGCAACGCTGTCGTGGCCTCGCGAAGCAGCAAGATGTAGAGACGTAAAGCCATCACTGCGTTTGCTGATGTTAACCCAAACCAGCCTGATGAGCTCCACGCCGATCCAAAATGCGTAACATGAGTAGGGATAGTAATTGACTGCAAATCCATAACCATACCAGTGACAAACACCTAGACCGATCCCGAGTAGACCGAAGAGTACGCGCCATATTGATCTGTGTGCACTCGGCATACCACTTGCGAATATGGGCGTTACGGCGTAGGGCAGAAAAAGAGCGATTTCCAGACGATTAACTGAGAATAGTATCACGTAGACGGGAATTGTAACGAGAACACTGCCCGCTACCAGGGCGCTCAGCGCGTATGTGGTGAGACCATGCCAGTGTGCAAATAGCCAGAAGCATAACAAAGCACATTGCGAACCAACAATGTGATATGGAATTTCTCTCCATGCCCGAGTAAGCTTTGAAACGACATAGCGCCAGTCCTTAAATAAATCAAGTAGCAGGCGCGCTCGACCCACAGGTGTAACGGCTGCCCAGCATATTTCCTGTCCACCAATGTTCCCTTGTCGAGAATTCAACCAGAACCAGTTCCGTGAGCGAGACATTATCAGGGATCCGACATATTGAAGAACTTGCAGGTTGAGAGCCAACACGGCGTATGAAAGAGCAATTGTTAGGTTCGGTATCACGCTCTCTCTAGCATGCCACTGCTCTTCAACCCATTCAGACTGCCGGGATAAATTAGCAGCCTCCATTGCGCTCCTCCAGGGAAACTCTCCGGAGCTAGATTTTGCATCAACTAGCCAGGCGGAATTCCCTTGTGTGGTGGGTGCGTCAAGTTCGGCCCACTTGTTTAGTAAAGCTGTGCAGATATCCTGGTGTCCTTCCCAGGCTGCCCAGTTCAGCGAGGTCATGCCATAATCCCTCTCGTCCACACTAGCTCCATTGGCCAGCAAGATATTCACCGTTTCTAAATGCCCGTTGCGGATTGCCCAGGTCAGCGGGGTCATTCCGTACCCCTTGCCGTTTATTGAGGCTCCCTTAAGCAATAGCCGTTCTACTGCTGCTGTCTGGCCGTTGCGCGAGGCCCAGTGAAGGGCTGTCATGTTGTGATCGCACGTTCGGTTGACTTTTCGATAGAGTATGTTAAATCCCAGCAGTCGGGGCACTGTCTCAGATTCGAGTAAAGGAATAATTCCACAAAAAGCTGCAAGGTGTATCAGTTCAAAGTTGCGTGGCGTATTCCACTCGAGTGGAGAGTCGGACCAATAAGTCTTGAGCCAGTTATCCCGGATAATAGAGCGTCGGTCGCAGAAATTCGGCCATCGTCTGAACATGTCCACTATTTCGGGTGATGACAGACGGGCGTGTTCCGGCCAGTATCGAGTAGCATAATCCAGAAGAGGATACTGACGTAAGGGTAACGGCCTGGCTAGGTACGAACGGTTATGACGAAGATTTATCCATTCATCCTGTAAAGGACTAGATTGGATATACTCGAAACACCTTGTAGCTACCCGTAAATGTACCTGCGTCTGGTCAAGGTAAAGCTCGCGAAACGGAGTGTTTCCCACACGCAGGTTCACGAGAGAACCCTTCGCCGAGCTGTGGATAAATCGCACAGTCGGCTCCAAAAACGCTTCTTCTGACTTGGACAGCTTCAAGAATCCGCCAGTTGATGTGATGTAGTGTTGGAGCCGGCTTTTGCTCACATGTGTGGCAGTTGCTAGCTCTGTCAACGTCAATGGGCGTACCGCTACCGCAACCCAATGTAAAATGCCTGCAACGACAGCACGTTCATTTTCTGGCACTTTAATTTCGAGCATTCGCATATAGATGTTAGTCAGCTTCCTCGGAAACTGTGTTAGGGTCCTTTCGACCTGCTGCGTTGGCATTTCCATCAGTTCAGGGACAACGAATGCAACCCATAAAAACGTCCCACTGGCTCCCTGAATGAGGTGTTCTCTCACGGTTCTCCGCAGATCCGCATTGTACTGCCCATGGATTGCGAGCTCATCAACCTTTACATCAATAAACCGGTCAACGTCTGACTTGACCCCAGGGTTATACCTAGGGTCCAGATTTATATCGGCAACCTTAGATAGCTCATGAAGTTTTGGATCGAAGTCTGCGCTGGTAACAATAAACTTCGTAATTTGGTCGGAAATAGGCCGCTTTGTGATCTCGTTTATCCTTTGGAGTAACCATTGACACGGTTCTTTTCCAACTTCATCAAGGCCATCCAGCACACAGAACACAGTGGGTTCCTCGACCGTGGATAAGAGCACCATGAAGTTCCTCCATAGGACATCTCTGTTCGCCCTGCTGAAGAGACCGGAGCTTTGACTATAGAATTTGAAGTCTCTCAATAAATGTTTGATCAGATCCGGCTGTCGTTTCAAGAGAAGGTAAATTAAGCCGCAAAGGACAGTTATCTCTGTGTTTCTTTTATCGTCTTGGTAGTCGCAAAAGTAATATAGGACGAGAGTGTCCTTGGAGCGCGGGGCGAATCTGGCATCGATTACATCGGTCAGGTATCTCGCCATCATTGTTTTACCAACTCCTGGAGGTCCATGAAGCCAGAGGAGGTTTGATGACCATGCATGATGCCAATCTGTGTATCGCTCGTTCGTGAATATCCAGTTACATGTTCCGGGTACCCTCTGGCCCTGTTCATATGCTAACTTCTGTTTATCGATTTCTGGGTCTGTGCGAAAGAGAGATAATTCGCAAGCTTCACGCGCCTCAGCTTCGTGATCAATTCCTAAAAGTCAGAGAAACCAAGAACTTAGCTCATTCTTGCGAATTATGTCGTCATTGCATGTTAGAATATCGCTGTACCGAGTTGGATAAGAGATGCCAGTTTCATCATATCGGAAGTTAAGACTTGGCTGATTTACCTTGCCCGAATGTAACTGGACCAGATAGATCTCCTTGGATATGCAGTCCATTGCCAGTAACAAAACTTGAACCGCTGTACTCCCGGTCCGATACTGCGGCTCTTTCACCATATCTCGCCTGGACCATAGGTTGACTCATCACGTATCTTATCCTGATGGTTTAAACAAAAGGATTTGGCGAAGTGGTGAGAGGAAACAATTCACACACTGGGCATTTCAAACTCCTTATCTGACAGTTGCCAAGATTGAACTGAGAACTAGAATCACATGGCCAACGAACCACTGACAGCGTCGATCGTTCGATCTCTGACAACAAAGTTCGCCTGAGCCATCATTCGGTTCACTTTGGCTCGATCTCTGTCAACTTGATTGCTCTCCCATAGGCCAAAAATGATCGCCAAGCCCTTGATGACACCCTGCACAACTTTGATTCGACACATAGTGCCATAGCTGTAGCACGAGGATTATTATAAACGTGGGATTAACCTCGAGCTACTTGGTTGGTGGTTTTTCCACCCACAAAACGTGGCGAAAGTTTATCTTGAAATCGGTCCTTGGGAGAACTCGTCCGGGCACATCTAGACTGTACCAGGGCCAAGGTACACATTAACCTTAATTTGCTTTAACAGTTCTGCATTGAGTAACTTCATCGTCATCCTATCCATTTACTACAGTTGAATGGAAGTTCTTCCATTAGATTGCATCATCATCATGGTCAAGTGCTCGCAGGTTACCAAAAACAACATCTATCACATGAGCTCTTTCTCTTCACTTATACGCGGCAAAGTGGCCTAAAGCAGACGGTACTATGTATGTTATGATTATCCGCCTTATATCGAGTAACACTCGTTTTACTTCATGTCATATTAATCAAAGTCACGATGGCAGACCCACTAACGATCATCGGAGGCATCACTGCAGTTTTGGATCTGATTTCATTCGGATATAAGATCATATCTGTGGCAGCAGAGCTCAAGGAGTCCACTGGGGAGCTAGAAATCAACAATGAGCGGGACATCATTGTCAGAGACATTGAGGTAATACTGGGAAACTTGCGACAAAGGAGCAAGGATGAAGACCACAGCCTAGGGCGCCTCCGACAGAGTTCCTTGGTCATTGCAACTGAATTCAAATCGGCCTTGGATAAACTGAAGATTCACGGCAACGTCACGAAATGGAAGACCATGAAGGTGGCATTTGCCAATATCTGGGATAAGAAAAAGCTCCAGGAGCTAGATAGTCGACTGAGAGGGCTCACCTTGGAACTCAATACACATATAACTGCCAACTCGAGGTAAATTACTCTAATAATAAATCGCTGCAAGTTGCAGCTTTACTTACTTCACCATAGTGTGTTGCTGGAAGAAATGTCTGAAGCACAAAAGAGTCGCTTCGAAACCGTACAAACTGATATCTATAATCTACAAGACCAGATTGCGGAGGCTTTCAGCCGGCAAGAAAACAAAATGACTGCCCAGCTGACTGTATTGAAGGAAGCGTCCACTGGGATTGCCATTGACACGACCGCGATCCAAGGTAGGCTTGAGAGGATGGAAAAGGGAGATGAAAAACTACGAACCACCATGGACGAAATCCTCAAATCAGGCACTGCTTTACAAGAGAAGTTAACCGAGGTAGAAAGATTGATGGAATCAGCATTTCCCGGTGATGGCAGTGTACGCAGTAACGAACTGGAACGGGCTCGTGACGCTCTTCGCAAGGGCTATGACCTACTTGCCTACCACACCTTCGAGAAAACTGAAGCTACTTTGGTGAGTCAACCGTCGGTTTGTGAGTTAATTCAAAGCTTATCGACACTAGATGGAGAACGCTTCTACTGGAGGGTGGGATCCCTCTCAGATATCAGCGACTGGCCATACCTACTCTGGAACTTCCCTCGTGATGGGGCAAGGTGTGCATATTCAAGGTGACCTCGGAGCGCCGAATACCAATATCGAAGGGAGTAGAAATCTTTACAGTGGACATAGCACGACTTCAGAGAGAGGGACTCATATCCAGGGCAATATTAATGACCCTCGACTCTTCTCTATTTTACTGGGAGGCCGTGGCAAGTGACATGAAAGTCACAGCAGGCGCTCAAGTTGGGCCACTACGTGTCAAAGCACTTAGATGCCAGTATAGCTGCAGAACTTCAACTGGACCTATGATATTTTATGAGGGGAGATCTCTCCTTGCACCATCACCTTAAGTAAAAGCACGAACGGCCGGCTCTATAGTGTGAAGTCAAAGGGGCATATAGAAAGGAGCCACGTCACAGCACCATCTAAGAAGTTCAAAAACTGTCCCTTAGTAGGTGTAGATCCTCAGGTGGACAGTAGCAGTCTTTATACCTTAGTATAATGTATCACTTTGTTAATCAATACAAGACTAAACACTTTCAACATGTATGCCCAGAAAGCTTCACTCTCTATGACCTACTCTTCTCAGATTGCAGTATATTTAATAACTCGCAATGTAGGACTGACGTGCAATGACGGTCGGAATAATTTCTGCTCAAGAAAAATGGAGGAGTGTGAAATCAGATATGAAAATTTCTTGTAGTTCGGACCAACCCCATTCTATCTCGCTTCTCATGCAGTTGATGAGAGCATGTATGTTATACATTTAAGCAGCTTTATCAGCTAACTGATGCGCAGTTGTCACTCAACTAGCGGACAGAGCCGTGGTTGAACCAGTTGACTTGCTACACCTATTCTAATGCTCGGCTGGATCCCTGGCGCACCAGCTGGAACCCATCTGGGTGAACCATTACCTGAGAAAGCCATGACCTTATAGCCACGGACGGGGTCAATTAGAAACACTGGTACCTGAATAATGGGGTTCAGTTTATTCCACTCATATGATAGTTGCTCAATGCTGGAGGAGCCTTTGGATTAAGCTCGTAGGCTGCCGTCTTACCCAGAGAAGTACATATACCAAATCTGGAGCGCATGGTCTTTCAATGTATGTGAACGCAACATTTAGAAGTTAAAATGCAGTTTCTGTCGTGGCTCAAGCAAGAAGACTGTGCGTTCCATTGAGACCAGCCGATGCTATCAAGCTCCATCATCAACAAATCGATGATATGCCGATACCAACAGGCCGACTACATAAGTTCATGGTATTTTCGACCGTCTCCCAACTCAAGGATCCTCCGACTATCACTCAACTCTGCTATCACTGTGTCTCCTGGAAGCTCGGCAACGTAGTGTTTCTGGATCTTTGCTGGAATGGCTTCAGCCTCGGCTGGTAATTTCTCCATCGACTTTGCGTCTCCTGCTGCTACTGCAGCATCATCGACCTTATGATCATCATCACCACCACCCCCTGGCTCTTGCTCTGCCTCCTCTCTGGACTCCGGCGGAGATCGCCGCCCCATCCGTCGCACGAAATAGATTATCGCCCCGATGAATCCCAGCCCGACCGCAGAGCCCACCACTACGCCAGCGATTACACCTCCGCCGAGTGATGACCCCGAGGAACCGTTCGTAGGCGGAGCAGACGTACCCGTAGGTGTTCCCGTACCCGTAGGTGTTCCCGTACCCGTAGGCGTCCCCGTACCCGTACTCGTAATCGTACTCGAAGGTATCTCCGTGGTTGTAGAAGACCCGGTGCTCTTCGTTAGAGGCACCTTGAGCTGATCCCAACTCGTCTTCCCGGGCCACCCATCGGCGTCCGCACCAGTGTAGCCAAGCTTCTTTTGCCAACACTGATAAGACTCCCGGTCCGCATCAGTCCACTGGGGGCCCGGACCCGCGGTGTACTTCCCACAATTTTCCGCCACCAGTCTTTTTCCCATGGCAGTCACGATTGGGCTGTTAGGAGATGACTTGAACCAGTCGGATCCAGGGAACGGCTCGAGTGCCCCACTAGTGCTCGTATTCGCGCCTCTTAGGTCAATAACCGCGAACCCCCGTATCAGACTAGTCGAGCTCCGCGTGAGATCATGTTCGGCGCTCTCGCCGGGGTTATCTGTGCAATTGGGTGAGCCGTACAGGTAGATCCGCACAAGACTGTCCTCAGGATCGAATTTGAAATTTTTGCCTTTCGCATGATTGATTGCCTTGCACGGCTGTGCGCCGGTGCCTTCCTCGATTGTAGGGGTGTCGCTGGCGTTTCTCCAGACGAAGGTCCAGGCGAAAATTACTTGGAGAGAGTAGAGTGTGTATAGCGCTGTGAAGAAGTGCAACAGTCGGGCCATCTTTGCGATGCAGGAGATAGAAATAGAGGTTGGCCTTCGGAAAGTATTCAGAAGACCAAAAAGAAGGGCCTGAGCCGAAGATTTGGTGACTTTCGACTCTCTGTGCGGTTCAGAATAGGGGTATGAAGAGCATCGTTCAGGACGTTGGATTATTATGGTGGGACGTTGAAGGGTTAAAGGTTGTTTTTAGATGCAAAGTTCCCCGGATGCTCCTGAGAGAGTGTTCGGCTCTCCCTGAAATGCGCATTAGCCTGTTTAATGTATTGCCATGTTGTTATTAGTGGATAGCGCTCTTCATAATTCTCGTATTGGGGGCTGACTGGATCTATGCAGGACCAGCCTCTCACATACTGCGTAACAGCAGAATACGAGCCCCAAGACCAACCGTGCGTTCTCGGCACGTTGACTGGCATGAGGCTCAGCCTTGCATCAAATCATTCTCCCGACAATTATTACTCCACAACATGGTCGGCTGCGGATAAGACCCGGCATCCAGAAAGTATATACTCTCAGGTAGGTCTGTTTGGTTTATCATCTTTGAAAGCCTATGTGCACTGGGTTATCGGTGAAAGTACCCCTGGGTGGTCCACGGTTGGTACGCCGAGGTCCCCGCTTCAGGGCAATGGGGCACCAATTTGCCAGAATGGATCGTCGGGATTGACGGTCAGCCGAGACTTGTCACAATCTTGGCATACCAGTTGGTATATGAATCCGCAACGATGCAGAATACCCTGTCTAAGCGCTCGCCGATGATGTGGCAGGCTGTGAATAAGAGCCACAGGTTTTCTATTGCACGCACCCTACTCATCCTGAGGTACTCGTATCAAGCCCTATCTTAAAGCGGCAAAACTAACTAGAAGCGCGGATCCTAGCTTGAGGGTCAGCGCAGTAAAGTAATACCGGAACATCTCAGTCATTGAATGCACCTTCCAAGATCAATTTGCTGTGGCGGCTCACTTACCAATTACGTTACTTAACTAGTTAGTTAAGTTAATATGAACAATTTGGTCATTCAATCCCACAACAAATCCACCCACTAAGTTGCGTAGATATCTTAGGCTATATTATTAGGATGGAACATCCTGTCTCTAGTAGGACCTCTATTACCCTGGAGTGATAATTTAGATCCTTATAGCCTAGTATATGCTATCAAGCTTAAAGGCTAGTTCAAACATCAAAATATAACCCTCGGCATGCTCCCAAGAAGGTATAATCGCCAGTTTCTCAATAGCCCAACTTTGACATAAGGGAAAATGTCCTGTCTCCATTGACCACCTAGAAGGAGACCTCGCATCGCTCCCACGAGTCATCTTCTAATCTTCATATCAGTATATCCAAGCCACTCCAATGGTTTCTGACACACCAATAATAAACATAAAATCATCCCCTCGTCGCAGCATCGTAAGTCGTCGTCTATGCAATTATCACATTGGCGGTAAACCAACACACCACTTCACTGCAGCCTTTATCACCCGCGTCGGTAATAATATGTCATCTGGTCATCCTCGAGGGCGTTCTCATAAGGATGGTATGTTCCCCCATTTGTGCCGCAGGCGATGCAGAATCTCCTCGACGCTGCATAACCCTTCTTCCCGCACTTCCCCGTGATTTGCTCGTCGGTAAAGTTGTCAGCCGGCAGAAATATCCAACATTCAAAGCAGAAGAAGTGGTCTGTGTACCTAGAGGTATGTAAGTATAAGGATCGGTCATCTAGCTCCCTGGACACTGCAGGGTTTGTTGAAGGCCTACTCACTCTGGCCACAGTTCCAGTGTCATATGATATACGTTGAAGTCCTCCGACTTGAAATACTTTGGATCCTTGACGGTAATAGCGGACCGGAGATACTTGTTTGCATTTTTCAATGCCATTGCCGATGCAGGGTCAAGGTACTCGCAGATCATTAAATGGATCTCTGCTGGGAGATTGAGGAAGGTAGTTGTGGATGCCATGATGGAGTCGCTTTTGTGCTCAAGTTGGACCAAGAGAGGAGTAAGTAGAAGACAAAGAGTTGCATTCTTCCAACAGTACTGCTTTTATAGAAGATTGTGCTTTGCATTCTGTGACTATTCCAGCTGCATAACGGAATACTCCGTTGTGAGAAGCCTGAAGTGATGCACCCTTTATCCTGACTTCGTGCAAAGGGGAATGGAGTGTGCATTGTCCGGCTATTGCCAGTTGCATAACGGAGTGATCCGTTATGAGGCAGCCTGAGATGTTCTCTCATCTTGAGAGTAATCATAACTTGTCTTCAATAAACAGTAGGCTTCTGGCATCAGATTCACAGTGTCAACGAGAACGGGACAGAAAGCTTAGATTCGGTCTTCATGAGTTAGGGCTGTTTCTCTGCTTAAAGACAGGATCTATAGTCATGTGTAGGCAGCAAGGCAGGTAGTATGGCAGTGAGAGAGGCAGCATGGTAGCGAGAGAGGCAGCCCAAGAGGCCCCGTGGCAGGCAGGCCGTCAGGCAGGGAGAGAGGCACGCAGCGAGATAGGCAGAGTGATAGATAGTGAGGGAGATAGTGAGGGAGATGGTAAGGGAGATGGTGAGGTAGATGGGGGGTAGAAGATCTCACAGGGCAAGGTAGTCCAGCGAGACCCTGGGCAAAACAATATTACGGGAGGTCGCAACCCCCATTGAATCTGAAACGGGCAAATTATCCGACAACATCCCGGATCCTCAGTTTTCGTGATGAGCTTCATAATAATGATCAGGCAAGGTTGTCTTGGGCTGAAGACACAGTTGTCGTCGCTAGAACTCAGAGGTTAAAGAGTAAATGCCCGGAGAGGACCTCGTCTTACTAGCGACCATACAAACTAAACCAGGAGGGTTGACCACATGACTGACCTGGAGTCCTTCGCATGAATCAGGGAGCTAAAGGGCATGTCTACTCTGGAAGGAAGAATATACACATCGTACTACAAGCATTCCTTGCGACATACCAATGGAGCCGCGGTCTGATGGGGGACAGCATCCACCATCGCATTCACGTGGGGAACGGGCAAATGACTTTGGGGTTACTTGGCCGGGGTCAGAAGTGGGGAAACCAGCTGAGATTCTAGACTGATGAATTCCTTGATTCCAGGAGTATCTCCACACCACTGAGATCATCCTTACTTGACGTGGATCACTGTCGACAGGACGCCCATCCAATGTTGAGAAACTGGCCGCCGGGATGCAACGGTATCCCGTGCGGTGTCTGATGCGGAGTACATGCAGTGGCTATGATGCGCATGTCTCACCTACCACCCGTGTTGATTAGCGGGGAAACGGATACCCGAGCGGTGGCCTGACAATCTAGGACGTTGAATGGGCCAGGGCGCCGCGATGTCTTGGATGCTCTTCTTGGATGTTCCTCATCGGTAACTCATCGGTACTGCGGTGTTTGAGTAGCAGAGCTATATGAAGCCCGGGCTTCCCCTCATCTAATCGGGGGTGAGACAGGTACTTTAACTATTCCTTGCTAACCTTTAGACTAATATCCGCCATGAAGACTTCTCTGATTGCGTTCAGTGCCCTCCTCGGCCTGACCTCTGCCCAGAATGCCATCGTGAATAACGACTGTAGCACCACCGTGTACGTGCAGTCGTTCCCCTACGATGGCAGCGCCCCCGGCCCTCTGACCACCATTCCCTCGGGCGGAACATTCTCGGAGAAATTCAGAGCCTCTGGATCGGTACGTTTATCTGTTCTGCCCTAAAGCCAGATAATGAGAGAGGCTGACCAGAACGAATGCGCAGACCATCAAGATCGCCAAGACCAAAACGCTGGATAAGCCTCTCTTCTTTGGCTATTCATTCTCTTCTAACCCAGACTATGCGTACTGTGAGTATTCCATATCCACTTGTCCTCTACGAAATCTTCCACTAACGGCATTTTTCAGATGAGCTGAGCAATGAATGGGGTAACCCCTTCGCGGCAAACCACAACACGCTGAGCCCCGGAGAAGGCTGCGAGGAATTTGACTGCGCGGCCAACGATGCTGGCTGCTACAGTACGCCGGCTCACAAGAAGGTCTATGGTTGTCCCCAGCCAATTACTTTGACGGCGTCACTGTGTGTATAACCATCCATCTTTCATACACCATACAATGATTTAGGGGGATGGTTATCACTCTGCTTGCTTCCCTGAAACTATCACACTCTATCAAGGTCTTTTGCAAAAGTAAAATGTGTGATATACACGGCTATTGGCCCCGCCCTAGTCCTATGAACCAACCGTACCTTTTAGTCTTAATCGACAAGAATCCGATCGGTAGTAGTCTTATCCATGGCTGGTTCTCAACCATACTTAGTAAGTACAAGAGTTCAGATGTAGAGTTTTCAAGGACGATATGTGCGATGGCTTCTTGCTCTGCCGTGTCCCAGTTGCATGGTTTTTAATTGCAGGCCCCAGGTGGATATTGTACCTACCCTTATCCTGCGACAAGAAGCATGCGACGTCATTGGATAAAACCATAATTAGCAGCATCGAAGGTGCAGCTCTGTAGCTAGCTATATATATACAATCTACTGGGCGGAGAAATAACGATACCAGCTAGAGGACGTTGGACAAAGTTGTAGACATCCCTCCAACCCTAGTGCTTGGCCATCTAGATAAGAGTGATACACAACGACGGCAGGTTGCAACAACCGTTCATGACCAAACTAAGCATATCGCACTTAAAATTTGCGAATGGCTCCTAGCTAGACTCACTTTCCTTGTGTTTGAACGGGACATGTGTTGGTGACGCATGTAATCACGAACAGTGAGATGTAAGGATTATAGTGATTAAAGCTTGTAGCTGCAGAGATGTGGAAAGATGCAGAATGCAATGAGTTGGAAGAGAGAAGGAAAGCACGATAGAGAAGGGTTTATAGCCATTATGAAGAGCAAAGTGGTGAAGTCTGTAGAGATTTAGAGCTCGGCTCATTCAGATATCTTCTTTTATATTATCTACTTCCGATGTAATTCACTGTCCAGTGGCTGTGGAGTGGATAGGTACACATAAGGGTCAGCATGTTTCCTTGATTCAGCGGGACTTGCCTTTATCCACAGTGAATGACTCGTTACAATTTTGGCTTGAAGGTAGTCATGAAGAATTCCATGAGAAACAAACAAATTCCACATGGAGATAGGGCTGAACCTCTGGTTTGGGATTCACTGCGCTGATCATGGCCATAGTGTAGGTCGGAATCAAGCCACAGAAACAAACAGAAACAGTACATCCAATACACAGATGCTAGAAGGGAGTCTAACTCTGCTATTGTCGGCCTGCTCACCGGCCGTAGCACCAGCAGGTCCGTGGTTGGCATAATGCAAAATGTCCCGTCTCCATTTGACCACCTAGAAGACCTAGCATCGGTCCCATGAGCCATCCCCTAATCTTCATATCAGTATATTCAAGCAATAAAAAGAAGGTTCAAAATCAGAGAGCTTGACACATACCAATACTATACATAAGATCATACTCATCGCCGCAACTGGAGCACGATGAAAGTGGGACGAGATTGTACCTGTACCGATTCTGGGCTATCACAAAGTCGACTCCTATGCAATCATCGCATCGACCACAGCTTTCACACCGTATACCTCTTCCCTGCAGCCTTCCACACCCCTTGCAGTAATAACGGGCCATCTGATTGATCATAATGGGCTGATCATAGGGCTCGTACAGCCTTATTTCTATCGCACAGGAGATGCAGGCTCTCCACGGAGTTCTGTCGCAATTTTCGTGATACTCTCCGGTAATTTGGTCGTCTGAGAACTTATCTGCCGAGAGGATTTTCCCGCAGTCGCAACAGAAGAAATGGTTCCAGTATCTAGAGGTATGTAAGCGTAAGGATCATCCCTTCTATCTGCTTGCAGCCTGCACTGTTGTTTGGGAGTCACACTCACTCTGGCCACATCTCAAGGGCCATGTAGTAGGCAAGTAAGTCTTCAAGATCGAAATCGTCTGTGTCAACGGTGATGGTGGACCGGAGGTACTTATTTGCATTTTTCAAAGCCACTGCCGAGGAAGGTTCAAGGTAGTCGCAGATCATTAGAAGTATCTCTACCGGGAGATCGAGGAAGGCAGTTGTGGATGCCATGGTGGACTGGCTTTAGTGCTCAGATTGGACCGAGAAAGGAAGAAGTGATATGGAAGTATCCTACACTTTAGTGTCTGGATGGATGGGCACCTGGCAAGGCGAGAGATGAGAAGACAGAGAGACGAGATTTGAACACTATGCTTCACTTGACAGTCACCTGTGGACTCAAGAGCCTACCCTCTGGGCATGGACAGTGAATGAGCTAGAAAATTATCTCTGTTTTGGTACTGTGAACACCCCATTCTTACTTTCTTGATCACACAACTCCGAAGGTTGACTATGAGCTACATGATGCGGCACACCGTGCGTCGGGAGAAGTCATAGTTACTGCTCTCTGTGAAACCATCTAACGCTATTCTCACCTGCCATCATCGTAATTTAAAATTATGCGCAGCGCATAACAGAGTACCCCGTTACGAGGGAGTCTGAGATGCTCGCTCATGTTGTGAGCAATCTGTAACTTGATCTCAATAAAGAATAGACTTCTCGCATCAGAAATTGTCAGCGAGAATCGACCCCGAAGCTTAGATTTGGTTTTTATGGATTAGGGCTGTTGCTCTGCCTGTATGGCAGCATTCATATTCATGCCTGTGTGCTTCGATGGCAGCGTTGATGATTTCTTTGTATTTGACCACCAAGTCCTTGGAGCAATTCGAATGACTTTGCCAGGCAACTATGGCTACTCTTGCACGCAGTAAGCCCTGTAGCCTGGTTAGACTGTCGACACATCATAGTGATTTTGGTGCGGTTTCGATGAGTTTCCGTAAGAGGCGCAACTGCACAACAGACGATTATATTGAGAATTTCTCTGGTTATAAATCAACTCTCGTGCTACGACACGTATGAGCAGAAATTTACGATGAAATGCGTTGAAGAAGGC